AGTCCAAAGGCTGCCCATCCCTCTAGGGCACTCACTGAACCCATAGCTTTGGAGAGGCACCTCCACACTGGCAGGCAGGACTCAAGAGATCACAACCCACCATGCTGGGAAAGGAAAAAGCCTACTTGGGTTACAAGTTGTGCCCTAGGCCTACCAACCCACCCACATGACACACGGGTCACCTACAGTGACTTCCCAGGCTGCCTGGGAGGTCCAGGCAGCTGAGTTGCCAGGACCTGGGCCCGGGCCACTCACCGATCACGTAGTCGCCGAAGCCCACGGTGCTGAGTGTGATGAAGGCAAAGTAGAAGCTCTCCACATAGCTCCAGCCTTCCATGTGGGAGAAGAGAAGTGGGGGCAGCAACAGAAAGAGCAGGAGGCCGGAGAGAAGCGCGGCAGAGCCTGCCAGCCACCGTGCCCGCGCTGGGTCCTACAGCACACAGCAACAGTCTGTGGCTCTGTTCCGGGCAGCAAAAAGGGGTGCCCCATGCCCACCTCTCCAGATTTGTGCCCACCCTCCATTTCCAAAAACCTCTGTGGCTTTGACTCCTCCGAATCTTCTCATGCCAACCACGACCCTAATAAAAAGACTGTTCTGGGCTGTGCTCCCACAACTTCCTGATCCTGCCCTGTCTGGTTCTGCACTCCATTTCCACCACAGCCCCCCATCTGGAATTGACTCATCCAGGTTCCTGGCCACTGTCTCACCTGCCAGCTGCCCCCCAACTGTTGAACACATCGGTGAACCCCTCGCTGCATAAGGTGGCCCAGCCGGTTGAGCACCACCAGGTTGAGTGGGATTCCGATGAGAGCAAAGAGTATGCAGAAGAGACGGGCAGCCATGGTCTCCGGGCTCAGGTTGCCATAGCCTGATGCAAGAGGGAGGGGTATTTAAGGGGACCCTTCCCCCAGTTCTGGGCATGGCCACCCTGGCTCTCTTGTCCCAGTTCCACTCTTACATTGGAGGTGGCAGCTGTGACCACCCAGCTCGGATGATGAGACAGAGTTGGGCTGGCACATTAGCTTACTGTGGGTCTGTGGAGAACTCCTTCCTTCGCTTTCCACTTCTTGGGCACTGACCCCTGCAAGACTGACCTGGGCAAAGGCCTTGATCTTTCTGTGCCTGCTTTCTTGACCTTAAAATGGGGTGCAGGCATTCACTGGCATTGGTGTAATGAGAAGCCACAGTGGGATCATACTGTGTGTGGGAATGTGAACCTCTGAGCATCAAGTGGGTACCGGACTGAGTAAATGGACGGATGAATCATGACCGAAGGTTGCCATGTGTTTATCTGGCTTGAGAACCTCAGAGGTCTCTTTCTCAGGATCTTTCATCCCCTTTCCACTCATGTTTTATTTTGTTTGTGTTAAAACAAAGTTTTGTGTTGCCCAGGCCTCAAACTTTTTATGTAACCTTGAACTCCTGAACCTATTGTCTCCACCTCTCAAGTGCTGAGATCACAGAGTGACCACCAGAGTAAGGGTGGTGTTGGGGAAGTGTGTGTGTGTGTGTGTGTGTGTGTGTGTGTGTGTGTGTGTGTGTGAGTGAGTGTAAGTGTGGTGTGTGTGTGTGTGTATGTGTGTATGTGTGGTGTGTTTGTGTGTGTGAGTGTATGTGTGTGTATGTGTGTGAGAGTTTGTGTGTGTGGTGTGTGTGTATGTGTGGTGTGTGTATGTATGGTGTATGTGTTTATGTGTGTGCTGTGTGTGTGTGTGTGTGCTGTGTGTGTGTGTGTGTGTGTGTGTGTGGTGTGTATGTATGTGTGTGGTGTGGTGTGTGTGTATGTGTGGTGTGGTGTGTGTGTGTGTGTGTTGGGAAGAAAAGGCAAAGACCAAAAGAAGAGGGGAGGTGAAGCCTGTCTTCAGTGGTGTGAGCCTGCCACCTGGTGGTAAATTGTGGGTCATGCAGGTGATGCTGAGGGCAAGGGCATTAGGGCAGCAGACCAGCATTGTTCCCTGGGCCACAGGGACCCAGAGCTTTCTGTCCACACTGTTTCCACACAACAGCCATAGGTGCTTTTAAGACAGGTTCCACCTCAGCCTGGCTCTGTAGGGGAAATGTGTCTGGAGGATAGTGACAGGGACTGAGGGGTGCTGGTGGACTGGGATGGTCTGCAGGGCCCAGTTGGGTGACCAAAGTCCTCCAGGGAAGCAGTCTCCAAACTTGAATATGCATACAGTTTCCCTGGTGTCTGATGAAATGCAAACCATGTCCTGGACATGAGATGCTGCTTGCAGGAGGGCGGGGGTGTGCTTGCAGATATACTGCTTTGCAGGGGTGACACCCTGTGACCCTCTAGAATGCCATCACTGGCCCCTCAGGGTGAAGACAACTCCAAAGCCCCACCAGATTGTCCCCATGTTGCCCTTACCGATGGTAGTGATGGTGGACACAGAAAAGAAGAAGGAGCCCACAAACTCCCAGCGCCCCATGCTGGTGGTATTGTCCAGGAGGTAGGTCCCATCTTTGTATGCTTGGATGATGTCCTGGGGGAGATGATGCAGTGACCAAAAGGATCTTGGGAGAGGGGACTGGGCCCCTGCACCCCAAGACATCCTCACACCCATGTCTCTAGCCACACCTACACCCACACTTCCTGTAGAGATGCCTCATGTTGTATAGACAGTTTCTCCAAAGTGATCCACTTCCTCCAGAAGGGAGGAGAGAAGCCCCTCCCCCAAGTTACGTTTCATGGTACCACTGCTGAGGGTGGGGGCAGACGTTTCAGTGATACAGCTGCCTTTGAGTCACCCACACTCCTGTTAGTAACCCCAATAAACACACCCCTTCACCCAGCTACAAGTGGGAAAAGCTGTTTCATTGGTCAATCATGGTGCCCCATCTGGCTTGAAGAGACTTATTCATGTGTCCCCAGGAAAACTCACACAATATCTCCCTCTTCATTCCAAGTTCCCTTCTGGCAAGGAATCACTACTTCTACTAAGCAAGAGCTCCCCAGAGGCAGAGATTGTGAGGACAACCCCTTCTCCTCCTAATCTTACAGCCAGGTCAGGGTGGCTTCTTGGCTCTCTCTCAGGTTTCACTACTCATTTGCTGTCTAGCTCAGTCTTAATCTTGCAGGAAGCAATAGGCAGATATTGCAAGACGACAGACATGACCTCAGCCTTCAGTTGGATGGAACTGGATTAACTCTGATATGGGGCCAACATGACAGTTACAGGTATGAAGGAGGTCCTCAGTTTCCTCATCTGTAAAATGGATCACTAACAGTGGTGAATAGTTGCTATCTTAAGGATACACACTGTGTGAACACAGAGGTGACAGGACAGAGGCAGAATGCTTCGTGGAGGGAGTGACACTTGGGCTTTCTGGGCCCCCTCTGAGGGTCTTCCCATTGAGAAGGCATTTAGGAAGACAGGACAGTAGGAGCAGATGCTGGGAGCTCATACTATGTCTTGAACATAAAATCATGGGAATCTCAGAAACTTCCACATACATCAGGCTACACAAAAGCAGCCAATGGGTGATTAACTTACAGCCTTAGTTCTTGGCTGTGCAGCATTGTGTTTAAACCAAGCCTCTCTAAATGGAGCGATGGTTCGTCTCCTAATGAGGATGGCAGTATCTGCTAGAGAGGCATTCTCGACACAGGGGCTGGGCAAGGGGAGGGCTGAACAGAAGCATTTGCTGGCATTTGCTAGCTAGCTCCCAGCTAATTGGCCCGTCCAATCCATGACCACTCCTGTCCAACCCCAACATTTTTCTCTTCCCTCGGGGACCTGACTGCAGCTTAGGGATTCTGGGGCACAGGTCCTGCCCCTCTCTGTCATAGAATCACTGCAGGAGAGAGAAGATACCCACTGGGGCTTGTGGGTATCTCTGTCCCTGCACTCTTGGCAGAGGGATGTGGAGTAGTCTAGCAATGCAAACACTGATTTGCTCAGCTGCCAGCTGGTGGCCCACAGGGGCCAGGATGCCCTCTCCATGGGAAGCCCTGCCAGGATGAGCCATCTCCTGCCTTTGTGTGTTTTAGCATCCTCACCCTCTGAGGGGCCTCTGGCTGGGGGGCCTCTGCACTTCATCCATCCCTTCCATCCGTGCCTGCTCTAAGTCCAAGTACTTCAGGTGAAGTGATCTCAGCCCTGGGTCCAGCCCAGATCCCCTAACTCTCAGCTCCCTCTCCTTTGCTCTGGTGCCAGCCCAGACAAGCATAGGTTGAGCTCTTTCTCCTAAGGTCCCACCAGGCCACTCCCCTGATGTATTTGCCCCTTCAGTGCTTCACTGAGCCAGAGCACAGCACGC